GAACAAAAAATCTTAAAATTTGTATGGAGACACAAAAGACCCCGAATAGCCAAAGCACTCTTGAGGAAAAAAAAAGGAGCTGGAGGAATCAGACTCACTGACTTCAGACTATACTACAAAGCTACACTAATCAAGACAATATGGTACTGGCACAAAAACAGAAACATAGCTCAACGGAACAAGATAAAAAGACCAGAGATAACCCCACACACGTATGGTCAACTAATCTATGACAAAGGAGGCAAGGATATACAATGGAGAAAAGACAAGTCTCTTCAATAAGTGGTGCTGGGAAAACTAGACAGCTACATGTAAAAGAATGAAATTAGAACACTCCCTAACACCATACACAAAAATAAAGTCAAAATGGATTAGAGACCTAAATGTTAAGACTGAACACTGTAACACTCTTAGAGGAAAACGTAGGAAGGACACTCTTTGACATAAATCACAGTAAGATCTTGTTTGATCCACATCCTAGAGCAATGGAAATAAAAATAAACAAATGGGACCTAATGAAACTTCAAAGCTTTTGCACAGCAAAGGAGACCATAAACAAGACAAAAAGACAACCCTCAGAATGGGAGAAAATATTTGCAAACGAATCAACGGACACAGGATTAATCTCCAAAATATATAAACAGCTCATGCAGCTCAATATTAAAGAAACAAACAACCCAATCCAAAAATGGGCAGAAGACCTAAATAGACAATTCTCCAAAGAAGACATACAGATGGCCAAGAAGCACATGAAAATCTGCTCAACATCACTAATTATTAGAGAAATGCAAATCAAAACTACAATGGGGTATCTATCACCTCACAGCAGTTAGAATGGGCATCATCAGAAAATCTACAAACAACAAATGCTGGAGAGGGTGTGGAGAAAAGGGAACCCTCTTGCACTGTTGGTGGGAATGTAAATTGATACAGCCACTATGGAGAACAGTATGGAGGTTCCTTAAAAAACTAAAAATAGAATTACCATATGATCCAGCGATCCCACTACTGGGCATATACCCAGAGAAAACCATAATTCAAAAAGACACATGCACTCCAATGTTCACTGCAGCACTATTTACAATAGCTAGGTCATGAAAGCAACCTAAATGACCATCGAGAGATGAATAGATAAAGAAGATGTGGTACATATATGCAATGGAATATTACTCAGCCATAAAAAGGAACGAAATTAGGTCATTTTTTGAGACACGGATGGATCTAGAGGCTGTCATACAGAGTGAAGTAAGTCAGAGAGAGAAAAACAAATATCGTATATTAACGCATATATGTGGAACCTAGAAAAATGGTACAGATGAACTGGTTTGCAGGGCAGAAATTGAGACACAGATGTAGAGAATAAATGTATGGACACCAAGGGGGGAAAGCGGCGGGGGGGGGGGGGGTGGGGGTGTGATTAATTGGCCGATTGGGATTGACATGTATACACTGGTGCGTATAAAACTGATGACTAATAAGAACCTGCTGTATAAAAAAATAAATAAAATTCAAAAAAACCCAACAACAACAAATAGCGGTAGACCCACAACCTGGAAGATGGCATTTGGGGTGGGGCACAACACTTTAGGACTTGGACAACCCGGAATGATTCCAGGTTGGTGGTGGACAGGACGCCACTGAGGACTAAGATGATGAGGGAATTTGAAGCTGTGCTATCATGTCATCCAAAACACAGTGGAAGCCCCTGGCATTGCAGTGGAAGCCCCTGGCATTGTTTCTGCTGGAGAAAAGAAAAAGGGTGGAAGAGGGAAGACACTTAATCTTATGTCTACAGAGAGCGGAACAGGAATGAAATGGGAATATCCAGGAAGAAAGATTTTTAACTCAAAAAAGAAAAGGTCACAACAAAAACTAACTAATATCACTTCCTGCTTTATCCACTAGGGTTTGGACACAATGCTAGGCACACTTCATATATTTCTTTTATTCCCTGTAGTAACCCCATAAGGTAATTTTCCTGTCCATATCAGAGATGAGAAAACTAGGGTTCGGAGAAGTTATCCAATTTTCCCAAGGTCCACAGCCATGGTCAGCTGGCTAAAGATGTATACCAAATTATTCTTGTATTAATAACTTGTGGGGGAGACTTCCCTGGTGGCACAGTGGTTAAGAATCCTCCTGCCAGTGCAGGGCACATGGGTTCGATCCCTGGTCCAGGAAGATCCCACATGCCGCACAGCAACTAAGCCCATGCACCACAACTACTGAGCCTGCAATCTAGAGCCCACGAGCCACAACTACTGAGCCCGCGTGCTGCAACTACTGAAGCCCGTGTGCCTACAGCCCATGCTCCGCAACAAGAGAGGCCACCACAATGAGAAGTCCACGCACCGCAACAAAGAGTAGCCTCCACTTGCCGCAACAAGAGAAAGCACACGCGCAGCAACGAAGACCCAACGCAGCGATAAATAAATAAATAAATGTATTAAATAAATAAAATTAAAAAAATAAATTTAAAAAATTCAAAAATTTTTTTAAAATTAAAAAATTTTAAATTAAAAAAACCTTGTGGGGTACATCATAAAAGGAAGCATTTTCATCCATCACATTGGCAAAATTTAAGAGCTCAATAATATCCAATGCTGGTGAGGATATGGAGAAAAAGATACTTTCATTTACTCTTCGTGGAAACATAAGATGCTATCATTTTTTCAATTAGGCAAAAGCTAGCAAAGTTTTTCATGTGCACACTTTTTGGGCAGCAAATCTGCTTCTAAAAACTCTCCTCCAGAAAGAATTGGACATGTTCACACAAATGTTCTCTATTGTTGATAACAGCGAAAAATAAGAAACAATTCAAAATGCCTACTAATGGTTGGTGTAGCCAAATACATCGTGGCACATTCTTATAAGGGAGTCCTAGACGTCAAGTAAAGACAGAGAGGCAGCTGTACATGGACCACTCTAACATTAAGAAAGCAAGCGAGGGACTTCCCTGGTGGTGCAGTGGTTAATAATCTGCTTGCCAATGCAGGGGATATGGGTTCGAGCCCTGTTCCGGGAAGATCCCACATACCGCAGAGCAACTAAGCCCGTGCACCACAACTGCTGAGGCTGCGCTCCAGAGCCCAAGAGCCACAACTACTGAGCCCACATGCCTAGAGCCTGTGCTCCGCAACAAGAGAAGCCACGAGAAGTGGCTTGAGAAGTCCAAAGAGAAGTCCGCGCACCGCAGCAAAGAGTAGCCTCTGCTCGCTGCAACCAGAGAAAGCCTGCCCACAGCAACGAAGACCAAACGCAGCCAAAAGTTAATTAATTTTTTAAAAAGCAAGAGACAGAACAATGTATATACTATAATCTCACATGAGAAGACAAAAAGAAAATAAAAAGCGAGCATATAGGTCGCTAAATAAAAAGGATTTGGAGGAATAAACTGCACACAGTGGTTAAATCTGGGAAAGGAAGTAGGGTGGCTGACTCAACTGAATTTGCCATTTTTAAAAACTTTTAATTCTAATTCTAATTTTTTTTGGCCAAGTCGCTCAGCTTGCAGGATCTTAACTCCCCAGCTAGGGATGGAACCTGGGCCCCTGGCAGTGAAAGCACCGAGTCCTAACCACTGGACCACCAGGGAATTCCCTGAATTTGCCATTTTAAAGGTAAAAAAAAAAAAAAAAGCCAAATAGTGGCAATTTCATGTTACAACATAAAGTTATATTAAAGAAATATATTTCTGGATTTACTGAATTATTACAATGATAATATATCCATATATTACTTATGAAAAAACAAACCAAACAAATGAACAAAAAACAAGATAAAAAGCAGTCCCTGCCCCTCCAAGATCTGGAGACCAATTGAAGAAGGAAAAATAAGCCAAGTTGTTCTTGCAAAGCCCACAGTGGTGCTAAGAGCACTAAGCCTGAGCATATCACCTGGACACAACAGACCAACTTCTAGGCCTGGCTCTGCCCCTCAGTTGCCGGCTAAACCCCGGCCAAGTTACTTTATTCCTCCAGGTTTTAACAAGAGCACTTCACGCATGACCTCACTAATTCTCACAACACTTAAGCCAAGCACCGTCACCAATATATTACAGATGAGGAAAAGGAAGGGTCTGGACTAGCTTTTAAGTCAGATCCACTCATCCACAAACAACTCTGGCTGAGATCCTGGGATCCTAGAACATTAGTATGGACCAAGAGGTCCCAGCTGTATCCTTGGCCCAAGGAAGCCTTCTTTCCAGTAAAACTCCCTGGAGAGAAAGGGCTCAGCACAAAGGAGAGCTTCTAGGTTCCAACCATTGCTCTGCTTCTCAACCCCAGCGGGACCCTGCAACTTACCTTCCCTGGGCCCCAGGCATAACAATAGTACCCACTCACAGACTGTTTTGTGCTTTAGTGTTTTTAAAAAACTGTCGCATTTGATGCTCACAACAACCCTGGCAGAAGTAGATCAAGTAGTTTGTTCCTGTCTACAGATCAGAAAACTGAGGCTTAGAGAAGTTAAGTAACTTGTTCCCAGTCACGCCGTGGGAAGGCGGTGGAATTGGGCTTCAAATAAGGTCTACTCGTCTGCGCTGATGATAATAATCACGTCAACACTGTGCAACGCTTTACAGTTTGCAATGGGCCATAAGATACATTATCTTATTTTAATCTAACAAGAAGGTGAGGAAGCAGTCTCTGGCTTTCATCGGATTCTCCAAGAGTTCAGAGCCAACCAAGTATAAGCCACGCAGGTACACGCCCACCCAGGGCTGTAAACTAACGGTAGCGAACAAACGTTCGTTCGCAAGCTCTCGTTAATCACCTTCACAGCTGACTTATGAGAGGAATTACCACCCCAATTTACAATTTACAAAGGAGGAAACACACTTGGATAAAGGAGGTGACAGGCCTGCGGTAAACCCGGCCCCCGCCCCCTGCTCCGCGCCCTCCGGCTGCCCCAGCTGCGGACAGGCCCTGGGTCCCCTGGGGAACGCCCGGGGGTCCCAACCCTCCTCGGGCCCTCGGGCGACGCCGGGCTCGGAGACGTACCTGACGTGCCCCAGAAGCTGAGGTTCCAAGAGAACCCCCCGACCTCCCGCTAGGTACCCAGCCGAGGCCACATCCCCCGCCGCGACCTCGACCGCGAGTGCCTCCAGTCCGCGGGCCGCGCGCACGCGCACACGCAGCCCCGCCGGGCTCTACCACCGAGGGAGGTGGGGATACCCGACACGGCACGGTCCCCAGCGCGAGCCTACGCAAAGCACCAGAAACTCTTGAGGACTACCCCCGATATATTTAATAGAATCCACAAAGGCAGTGTCTTCTGGAGTCACTTCCATGCCCCGTGCTACAGGCTAGGACGAGGAGCCACACTCACCCTCCCCACAAACCCCTGGGTCTGGTCTCCCCCGCCTACAGGGGCCGTCGCCGTGGTAACGGCGTCTCGCGGATGAGGTGGAGGCTCGCCACGCCTCCGTTGTCGTGGGAAAGGCGCGAGTGGTGGCTGCGGCCCGCGTTGCCTGGAGAACGTCAGGACTTACAAACGCAAAATGGGCCTCTCCCCGACGTCCCTCCTCCTCTTCCTCCTCCCAGACCACAAAACAAAGCGCACCCCTTCCTGGTGGATGTGGGGACAACGGGTGTCGGGTGTCCCATCCAGAACTTTACAGGGTCCCCAGAGGGAGCCGTGGCGGAATAGGCTCCGAGTTCGTCGGATTCTGCCTATGTCTTCAGGTAAGATGAACAGACAGACAGTGACCCTGCCTGCCAGCCTCCACACGCTGGCCTCTCATCGGCTTTGACGGGCAGGGGAACCTGAGGTCAGGGGCCGCTTCAGGGTCGCACAGTGAGCAAGGAGCAGAGAGCTACTCGAAAATCAACTCCAGATCTCCTAAAATCCTAACTGTGTATTACTGGTTCCATTTGACAAATGAAGAGACTCCGGGTCATTCAAGGGATATTTACTGGCTGCTTAGCGAGTGCACCAGGTCATCCATCCAGTGAGGGGCAGGACCCATAGGTCTCTGGCTCCAAGTGCAGTTTTCTTCCAACTACATGTTACTTCATTGAAAAGGGGAGAGTTCCGTGTCCTAGAACCAAACCACATGGTCTAACCCAGCACAGTCCAATGGAAACATAATGTAGGCCACATATATAATTTAGAATTTTCTAGTAGCCATATTTTTTAAAAAGTAAAAAAAATCAGGTGATGTTAATATGACTAATGTTTTAACTCATATGTCCCAAATATCATTTCAACATACAATCAATATTTTAAAGTTTATTCTGCTTCAGTTTTTAAATTTTAATTAACTAAAATTAAGATTTTAGTGTTTCGGTCACACTAACCAAATTCCAAGGACTCCATTGTCACATGTGGCTAGTGGCTACTGTGATGCACCGGTCTGGTCTTTTCCTGTCTTTCTACTGTGTGTCCCTCTGCTTGGGTGGTATTTCCCCTCCCCACTTATCTAATTAACTCTTGCTCTTCCTTCAAGTCTTGACTCCCTTGACTAGGTCATTATCCACTATTATATTGTCTCTCAGAGCGTTGTGTCCCTCCCTTTGAAGCAGTGGTCAGTTATAATTCATGGTTATGTATATAATTAATCATCACTTGTCACCCCTAGTAGACATAAGCTCCATTAAGGCAGGGATAAAGTCTGGTTTAACTCACCAACCTGTCCCCAAGTAGGGACACATTGCTGGCTGTGTTGGGCAGTCAGTAAGTAGTCATTTAATGACTGAAGTTTAAACTGAACAAAAGTCTGTCTGACTCCAAAGTCAGCATTGTTTTAACTTGTTTAACATGTTTAAGTTAAAATGTGTTAACTTTAAACAACGGACTTTCAAATCTCAGCTGCCAGAATATGTGCTCCATGAGGGCAGAACGTTTTTTTATTCTTCCACTCACCTGCCCCTAATATACAGCACAGTGCTGGGCACAGGGTGGATATTCAATAAAGTTAGTTTGCTCCCCCACCCATTTTTTCTCCCCAAATAGTGACAGTAAAAACTTATCATGCTTCAGAGAATACTTATCCTAAAATGATATGATGAAAATTTCAGAAGGGAACAGAGTATTTTAAATGTGTCTTTTAACAAGCATAATATTCAATTCTCCTGTTAGGCATGGGTAATAATGTTAAGCTAAAGCAAGAGGCTTCTTAACAGGGTCCCCCTAAGCCTGGCTTTTCAGAGAACATGGAGTTTTCCAGTCATGCTGGCGGGGATGGGTGGGTGGGTGGATAAAAGTGAGAAGCCCTAAAATGCACCTGCCTCCTCTTTACCCTCACCCCCTTGCCTGTATGGCTAAAGACTAGGAGCAGGAGGCAGGAAATAATAGTTTTGACCTGAGCCTGGGCCAACCTTTCCTACAATCCAACTGACTTAGGACAGCCCAAAGTGGATAGCCTCTTTGGACCAGAAAGAAGTATGGTGAGTGAGTTAAAAATGGAATCAAATATTGAGTGAATCTAATTCCTAGAGAGTAATTTGCCTAATGGAGAAAGACGTAGAAGCAAATAAATTCTGGTTCCGTATTGTAAGTGCTGTAATAGAGAGTTGAAAGCAGAATCCTGGACTTCACAGAAAAGGGGTGGTATTAATGGCCTGGAGTAATTCAAGAAGGTTTTCCAAAAAGACATTATCACCTGGACTGATTGAATGGAGGGAATTGCATGTACAAAGGCATAGAGGCATAAAGCGCACACCATGGCAGGGATCAGGAAAAAGTTCGGTGGGGCAGGCATGTAGGATGGATGGCTGGGGAGAAGACAGCAGAGCAGAAGGCATGCACCAAAGGAGAAGAAAGGAGACTGTGGTGAAAGGACACCTCGGTTAAGTTTTCCATCAAACTATACCTTTTCTCTGTCTTTCCATTATGTATGAGCTTCTTGAGGGCAGGTCTGAGCCTTTTACTTCATTATAACCAGGCCTATACCACCAGGCTCTGGACAGGGAGGACCCACAGATGGTAGTGATGAACTCCTCCTGGCCAACAAGCAAGGACCCAGGAGAGCACTCTGGCCAGAATATTACAAATCCAGGAGGAAAAGTAGTGTGGGGCCAGTTTCCTGAAAGGGAGCAGAAAGCCTCAGCTAGATTAGGAGCCTCATGCTGAGGAGATGGACCCAGTATCATAGAAGCCCAGCATCTGAGGGCTGCAAAGGGGCTTAGGGACCTAATCCAAATCTCTGACTTTACAGGTGAGGCTCAGAGAGCCAAAGAGATTTGACTGGATTTCTAACTTGGAAACTGGCTTGCTGGATGGTCTGGAGCCCCGTCTTTTCAGCAGTCTAGTCTTCTTATTTTTATTTATTTATTTGGCCGCACCGTGTGGCTTACGGGATCTTAGTTTCCCAACCAGGGATGGAACCCGGGCCCCTGGCAGTGAGAGCGCCGAGTCCTAACCACTGGACCACCAGGAATTCCCTAGCCGCCTTATTTTTAAAACCAGAATAATTCTCATCAGGGGGTGGTGGGGATCAGCAGGTAGAAAGCAAAAGTATATATGCCTTGAAGTTCTCTGTTAAGAATGTGGTACCTATATACAATGTACACATGTGGGCTTCTCATGTGGTACATATATACAATGGAACATTACCCAGCCATAAAAAAGAATGAAATAACGCCATCTGCAGCAACATGGGAGGACCTAGAGATTGTCATACTGAGTGAAGTAAGTCAGACAAGAGAAAAACAAATACCATATGATATCACTTATATGTGGAATCTAAAAATATGGTACAAATGAACTTATTTACAAAACAGAAATAGAGTCACAGATGTAGAAAACAAATTTATGATTACCAAGGGGGAAAGGGGCAGGGGAGGGATAAATTGGGAGATTGGGAATGACATATACACACTACTATATATAAAATAGATAACTAATAAGGGCCTACTGTATCGCACAGGGAACTCTACTCAATACTCTGTAATGACCTGTATGGGAAAAGAATCTAAAAAGAATGGATATATGTATATGTATAACGGATTCACTTTGCTGTACAGCAGAAACTAACACAACATTGTAAATCAGCTATACTCCAATAAAAATTTTAAAAAATGGGCTTCTCAGACAAAAGCCTTTATTCCCCATTAACATGCAGCATGTATCTCGCTATCAGCCCTGCTTACAAGATGAGCGTGGTTGTGCTTTCTAAGATGGTTGTATGCTATTGTGATTCCCAGGAGGCTGGTGGAACAGAAAACAAGATTGTAGTGAGGAATGAGAGGCTCTTAAAAGTGGAAACTTACTGTTTGTCAGTTTACAAGAAACTGGACAATGGCTGATTTCAGGAACATGGATGTCATCAATTTCACTGCCTTGCCAATGGTGCCAGTAGATGAGCACCTGCCTGTCTCATTCACTGCACGGAAAGCAATGAAGGATGCCATGAGGAAGAATCTGGAGGACAGTCCACCCTGTATCCTTCTGTGGTGCCGTCTGCAGTAGAGACCAAACACACCCGTGCAGAGGTGTAACCTGGGCTCGAGTCTATAACATACACCACTTACTAGCTCGTTTCTTATATGTTTGTTAATTTTTTTCAATTACTTAAGCCCTACCTGTCCTTTAAAAGAATATGAAGCTGTGAAGGATTGTTTGTCTTGAGTTTGTTTTACTAAGATAATCAGAAAGAGCCCTAAAGGGAGACATACTGGAAATATTCATTGAAAGAATGGGGAAGAAGAGAAAAAAATGTTCTTTTTACCCCATTGTCTCTTTCTTTCCCTTCTGCCTTCCAAAGAATTAAACTTATAGATAGAAACTAAGTTGTAGTCCAGCCCTCTGCCCTCAGACTAGTTAGCTGAGTGCCCAACTTTAAAAAAAATTTTTTTTCTTTTTCTTTTTGTGGCCACGCTGCACCGCAGCTTGCAGGATCTTAGTTCCCTGATCAGGGATTGAACCCAGGCCCTCGGCAGTGCAAGTGCAGAGTTCTAACCACTGGACCACCAAGGAATTCCCTTTTTTTTCTTTCTTTTTTTTTTTTTTTTTTTTTTTTTTTTTTACTCCCTTTGACCTTTCCTCTTCTCATCTGCCACTGCCAGCACCTCTACTTGGGCCCAGACTTTGCCCCTTCTGACATCATCCAGGCTCTACCAGCATCTTTCTTCTCTGACTCTGCCTTTATTGATCCTGATCTCATTTCT